CCTGATTGGAGNTTGAGGAGCGTTTGAACTTGGGNTTTGGGAGATGTTGGGGAAGTAAGGTACCCCTTCAAGAGTTCAAACGTACACTGCTCTTCTGTCACGACCCATTGTACCATTCCGTCCGGTCTCCTTTCTGACTGGTATCCTCGTCATTACTTTACGAAAAGTAGTGCCTACGTCTATATACTACCCTATACACGATCACCCCCTTCGACCGAACTGCTCCTCGTAGTTAGGGCTGTTATGGCCCTCCTCCACTCGCACTCTCTGAAATGTACACGGTGATGTTTATCCTCTGCGCACTGGGCGTTTTGCTGTCTGTCGCCGCTAAGAGCTTGGTTAGTCTGACGGGTAATCACGACGAACGATATACAAGTACCTCTCACATCGATGTTGGCTCATCAGCTCCGGCAGACGTCGGACGGCATTCTCGCAAGTATGACGTTGATGCCTTGGAGGAAAGGCCCGACTGCCATGTCATGAAGCCTATGAAACGCAACCCGTTAACTTGTCATCGAGAAATCGGAGGCAAAGAACAGCATACATAGACGTCTCTACACAATCAGAACTTGAAGCTTCGAAGGGTAAGACGAAGGCATCTCGTTCACAGTAAGAAGGCCTCGAGATTGATTAGACGGCGCGAGAGGTTTGCAAGATCATGGAAAAATTGAATACGTCGGATCTTGTTGTTGAAGTGAACAATTGGCGACGCTGTGTCGGCCTAGAATGTGTGTTGAACGTGGAACATGTGCTGATCGATACGACAGCGTCAATACAGAGCATGGGCGGGCTGGAGATTCAGTGGGCTAGTAAACCGCCCTCGACGTCGGTTCTGGAGGTACAGGTGTCTTAGTAGAGACAAGGTTGTTGAGGAATTAGCACTCGTACCTGAGATACAACACCGTCTTGACCCCTCCTGCACAACTACCTTCTGCTCTGTGCCTCATCAAAAACTCAATTCACAAGTCGTTCTCAGCCCATTGTCGAAGGGACCTGAACGTATCCCTGATGTGCGTGAATAGAGCCTGGGGGGATGGCATGACACTGACGAATGCATTGTCAGAAAACTAGTGCTTAGAAGACGATACGCCATGGACGAACCTTACGAATCCGAAAGATAATCGATATCAATTTTTAGGCCTTAGGCCTTGTACAAGTAACCTCGAGTCCGTAGACGAGACGCGGTAATTATAAGTAACGAGCTGGAAAAGATGACGCGTAGATGAGGGTGGTGGTCAAGGACAATAATGTCAATCAGACACCCACCTTATGTAAACGAGACGGAACCACGCGTATTCCATTTAGACCCCAGTTGAACATGGAGCAGAACAAGTTCGTGGTGGAGATGCTTCACCAAAGCTTCACTTCGAAAATCCAGCATCTTACACTTGCTCTGTGGCCACTACACGTTCAGGGTGTCATGGTGTAGGAATGGCAGAGCCAGCGGGCTTCGTTTGTATAAGGTGCGTTTATTACGCCGTTCTCGTTCCCCACCAATTTGAACTAATTTCTGTAATCAGAGGTGAGTATCGTCCGATGTTGCCCTCACCGTTCTCCTTCCCCCACCATTCACCGAAATGCTGGCGCTGTCCTCGACACAACAAACGGATATGCACTGCGCCGGTTTAAAATCGAAAGCTAATTGCATTTTTAGCAGTTCAGAAATATAATGGGAAGCTGTCACCACTTCAGCCATTAGTGTTTGAAAGTCCGGTTCGGTCTGGTTTTTTGATGCCCAGGGGCATTAACCATAACCATAATCGGTCTGCCTTTTCCCCAGAAGTCAAAAGACCAGACCGGACTGCAAAAAACTGCAGTCTGTGGCAAGGGGTATGTAGTTATTCATTCAGAGACATGACCTACCCTGTGGGAAGTCGGAGATCCAAGTGTGCGAAAAAATCCAACCCCCAATTTATTTTTATTTTGTGGAGGTGTTGGAGTGTGGACAACAACTTTCAAAATTTTCTTTCGGTGTTGAGTGCCCCTCCCTCCCCCCAAAATTTCCTTTTTAGGCCAACTTTCCCACGGGAAGGTCATGTCTCTGAACGAATAACTACATACCCCTTGGTCTGTGTCTTTTTGCGGTCTATAGACCAGTTTCGGTCTGCATCG